ACGTGATCGTTACTAATACTGACTCCCATCCCACGGGAATCCCACGGGAATCACGTGACCCGTGGGATTCCCAAAAAAATGTCAGTCTCTACTGGTTCTCCTCCTGCAGCAGCGTGTCACAGATATTTTTTGATTTCTGCCCAATATTAAAGCGTGGTCTGCGCTATGTTATTCCACGCCACAGAGCAAGGTGGCTGTATTATGAAATTTAGGCAGGATCGGGATGAGTCGGTAATAAAGATGCACACACAGAACACACACACAGTGTCTGCTAGAGTAAAATGTGTCGTTTTATTCCGCCACAGAACACAGCAAAGCAAGCACATCAATCAAGGCACGGTGCTGAATATAAATTATATTGTCCCCCTACCGTGACACAAAGGATCGGAGGGCCGGTCGATCCCAGCAGGGCAGCAACCCGCGCAGCTAGGCGTCCGTATGCAACCCTAGCAGACCCCGCCAGTGCCAACCGCCGTCCGTCCTTTATGCCAAACTTCAAAGGAAAATCTTTCACCCAATCAGGAAAAGTGACCGCTCCCTCTCACGCGCATGATTACAGAAACCAAAAAATGGAACGGGCCCCCCCCGAACCCACCCAGGGCTCGTGGATAGCCGAAACCAAAAACATTATTACATCATGGTCAGAGCATGGCACCGAGAGCTCGTGAGTACAAAAGCAAATTATATCAAGCTCTCAAGGAAACGTAGATAATGAGAGTGCTTCATTTCTGATACAAAACTTGTATGATTGTCAAACAACATAAAATATAAAACCCATATATATCAGTGGCCAATCAGGAGCTAGCTGTGGGTCTAGATACGGCCGAGGCGGAGAGGAAGTGGGGGCCAGTTTATCCGACAACGGAGGGACATGAGGGCCAAAAAGAGCGTGGATCCAGGTGGAAAAAGGGTCCCAGCGTTCTCGCTCACCTCGCTCTGCTAGCTGCTCCATCTTCCCCAGTCGTTTTCCACAATGGCGGTCAGACAAACAAAACAAGCCGGTAAGGAACCAAACAGGAAATACGCATAGAGTAGAGCAGATCTAGATTTGACCAATCAGAGGCCTCCTGTCTGCGGTCAGCTACAATTTAGGAAAGGTGCAGCAGAGTGTCTGCGGAAGGGGCGGGGTCACATTTGCGTTTACTGCGACACACACAGACGACCTGGTTTCTGAATATAAACCAGCAGAGGAGAGAAAGGAGGCCTCTGATTGGTCAGTTCTACATCCGCTCTACTCTATTCGTATTTCCTGTTTGGTCCCTTACCGGCTTGTTTTGTTTGTCTGACCGCCATTATGGAAAACGACTGGCGAAGATGGAGCAGCTAGCAGAGCGAGGTGAGAAC